ATTTTGAGGGAGGGTTTTGGGGAGATGGACACTGTTCTCTGGTCTCCAGGCTGTCTGAGGTCGTGTGTCCAGGCTCTGGCTGGGGGTGATGTTGGGAAACTGAGGCTGCCAGAGGATGGGATGGGTGAGTGGCAGCACAGGACCCTATTAGATGAGCAGGGGCCAGGCTCCGTGTCAGCCTGTGCATCTCTCTGCTTGGCTATGGACGTGGCCAGGATGTCGGGCCTGTGCTGCTGAGGTGGGCTGGGTGAGCCTGCATTCTGGGGTATGGGTGACACCTGTTATAAGAGCGTCTGTGTTTTCCCAGCACTCCTGGGCTCGAGGGCCTGCAGGGCAGGAAGCTGCCTAGGAGGAGAGAAGGGGCCTGTGGGGGACAGGTGTCTGCTGTGGTTGTTCCCTTTTTGCTATGGTCTGGATATTGGGCACTCTGAGCAGGGGAAACGTGGATTTTATAAGAGGTACTTGCAAGGGGTTTAGGTGACACACTCTTGTCCTTTCTCTGTGCCTGATAGAGGGGACAAGCGGAGGGCTTAGAGGACACTCCCAGAAAGCCACAGGGTGCGTGACCCAGAGCACAAGGACTGGGACCAGGGCTCCACGTGTGCACTTTGCACTGACACCATCCCATGCTGACCACCACCCAAGACCTGCATGCTGGCACACGCTGGCTGGCACGGAGGCCACATTGCATCTCTGGGCGCAGACCCTGGGCACTGTCACTCTGAAAGAAGGTGGGAACTGATACACAGTGTGCCCAGTTATGTGATAGTTCTGTGAGTCTTTGCATTGGGCAAACTCACCCTTGTCTCCAGGTGCCCTTGTGGCTGCCTCCTGTGGCCTCAGTGGCCCACAGGCTCCTCCTCTTGGCCCAGTCTTCCAGAACAGCTGGGTTCTGGCTGTTTCATTCTCTTGAATGGGGAACTGTCTTGACGTTTAGCATCCTTTGTGGAAAAATGTTAGCAGTGCAGTGGATGCAGTCAAATTATTTCAGAGCCACTAATTTCCAGGGTTCTTGTTTTTTCCCTGTAAACTTATTTTTGTATACGTTTTTGTACTTGTGAGATTTTTATACCAGATAGCAAATTCACACACTTTTTGGGGAAGTGAAATGAGGCCTGGAGAAAGAAGGGGCTTCATACAAATCATCTGTCTTGTGAAATTTTCATAAATTAATTATACGGTCATCCAAAACTTGTGCCCAGACCCCAAAAGTTTGATGGTCATTTAAATTTGCTTAGAATAAGTGGTCATTAAGAAATGTATTTGGTAACATCATTTATGTATCTGATTTGAAGGGAAATTTTTATTTTATTTTTTTTACTGGAGTCAGTGATTTCTGGCTTGCTTCTGGCTTCTTGGGCCCATGTTGACAGTCAGGGCTGCTAGGCGCGGCCATGGGGTGAGGAGTGGGATCCCTGTAACTGCCTCTCTTGGTTCGCTGCTCAGACTGTGGTGTTTCCTTAGGGACCTTGGAAGCTTCTTAGCAGAGGACCTTCTCCAAAGGTATTTTAAAGTCTGCAATTCTTGATAAGATTTCGACCCCATGCTGTGTTTCTATTCTAGGGCTGTCTTTTCTGGGGCTGTCTTTTCCGAAGACTCCTGTCTTGGTGGTCTCTGGGCCCTTAGGTTTCAAAATGTAAAATGCTCAGAGTCCCTGACGCCCTTGGGGAAGGTTTGGGGATACCCCTGACAATCAGCTATTGATTTTTAGCACATGCATCCCTGACCCTCTCCAGTCTATCATTAGTATTCTTTTTTTTTTTTTTTTGGGTTGGAGTCTCACTCTGTCACCCAGACTGGAGTGCAGTGGCTGCTCCCGGCCACCGCAGCCTAGCCTGCTAGGCTCCGGAGATCCTTCCACCTCAGCCTTCTGAGTAGCCGGAATTACAGGCATGTGCTACCACGCCCGGCTGATTTTTTGATTTATTGTAGAGATGAGGTCTCGCTGCCCAGGCGGGTCTCGAACCCACGGGCTCAGGCAATCCACTCACCTCAGCTTCCCAAAGGCGTGGGATTACAGGCTGAGCCACCGAGCCCGGCTCATTAGTATTCTTTAGTGTATCACGACTACTTCTGTGAAAATGCTGCAGGTTGGAATACTTGGAGCAAATAGTCACTATGCAAGGTTCTTTAGGAGGACACCCTTTCATCTTTTGAAGGAAGGATAGGTGTTCATATATTGTCTGACTCACAATCGGAAACATATAACTTCTTTTAAGTAGGAGTTCTTAGTGTGTATGAGGTTGTAGGTTTATAAAACGTGCTTCCTTTCTACATGTTATAGCTTGTTTTTTGCCAAAAAAAAAAAAAAATCTGCCCAGCTAGGTATGTCTGTGTAAGTCTGGAGTGTGCCCCAGAAGGGAGACTCTTCCTGAGTCCTTGACAGCATGGACCTGATTGTTTTGTGTAGTGGGGAGGAGGGTGAGCAGAGTCCAGCCCCAGGGGCCTGTCTGTATGGCTTCCACCCCCTCTAGTCCATCCCAGTGGTGACCTGAGAGATACCTGGTCTCTCACATCCTTTCTAATTGGCCCATTGTATTGTCTCTTCACCTTATCTAGAGTCAGGTAGAATTCCTGTTTTTACTGCAGAGTTGATTTTTCTGTGTGCACCATTTTGGTCCCTTTGCCTAGTGACAGTCACTTTGACTTGCGCGTCCTCTAGCCTCTGTAGTGGCTAGCTCTGTGCTGGATACAGGCACACAGACAATCTGTTGGGCTGCCCTTTGCCTCGTGCTGGTAGGGAGGTGCTCAGGCTGGGACCTGCCCCCTTATTCTCTAGTTGATGGGATGAATGTACACTTGACAGTCACTGTGTGGTATGATAGACGCTGGCTCAGGTACCACCTCTGAGACCTGTTACAAGAACGTCTGTGCCTTCCCACTACGAGGGCACTAGGGGAATGCTACCCACGGGGAAGTGGTGAGGCAGGAGTGAGAGGTGCATGGCCTCATAGGGCTGGGGTCGGGATTCTGTATTTGGATTAGGACTCAGTCCTGTGGCCAGAGCCTGGAGTCCCTTTGGGGGAGAGCAGGTAGGGGGTCTAGGAAAAAAAGCACACAGGGCTGGCATGGAATGGGGACGTAAGCCAGGCCAAAGAGTGGGCTTTGTCTAAGAGTGGTGGAGACCCAAATTCAGCTAGGGGTTGATCTGTAACTGATCTCAAGGTCAGGCATACGTAGATGTGGTGTCAGGCAGGACCACTTCTGCCTCAGGGTCCTGGAGCAGTTCAGGGACTCAGGGTGCCTTTCCTATACCATGCAGTCTCTCTTTTATTAAAATCAGCTGCATTCTCTCTCTCTCTCTCTTTTTTTTTTTTGAGTTGTAGTCTCTGTTGCCCAGTGTGGAGTGCAGTGGCACACTCACAGCCACTCCAGCAGCGACCTATCAGCTACATTCTTTTTTTTTTTTGAGTTAGAGTCTCACTCTGTTGCCCAGACTAGAGTGCAGTGGCCGGTTCCTGGCCACCACAGCCTCAACCTGCTGGGCTCCGGCGATCCTTCCGCCTCAGCCTTCCAAGTAGCTGGAACTACAGGCATGCGCTACCATGCCCGGCTAATTTTTTTTTTTTGATTTTATTGTAGAGATGAGGTCTCACCAAGTTGCCCAGGCAGGTCTCGAGCCCACGGGCTCAGGCAATTCACTCACCTCAGCCTTCCAAGGCGCGGGATTACAGGCTGAGCCACCGAGCCCGGCTATCAGCTACATTCTTAATGAAGACCCATTTCTTTAATATCTAAACACAATCGCAGTCACATGTCACATAATGGCATTTTGGTCAAAGGTGAACCACATATACAGTGTTTTTAGTGTACCTTTTCTATTTAGATATGCTTAGATACACACATACCCTGGTGTTACAGTTGTCCACAGCATTCAGTGCAGTCCTGTGCTGTGTAGGTTTGTAGCCCAGGAGCCACAGGCCACACCAGGTAGTCCAGGTGTGTAGCAGGCTATGCTACCTAGGTTGTGTAAGTGCACTCTGTGATATTCACAGTGACAAAATCGCTGGGGGTGGGGTGGGGGGGGGGCGGAACATTTCTCAGAACATGCCCCCATGGTTAAGTGACACGGTTTGTGAAGTGTCACCAGCAATTGTCACCCACTTGTGCAGGTGGCCTAGGAGCCTGGTCGCTTTCCACGGGTCCGGGAGCACAGCCACGCTCCATCCCACCTACCTTTGGAGATTGATTTCCTCTGTCCCTTATTCCCACGTAGTCTCTTGCCTAGTGGCCTGTGTTCCTCACGCTCCGGCTGACCCTGGTACTGTAGTCTTAAAAATTTGATGTCTTGTTGGAAAAAGAAAAGTATACAATCATTGGCGATGACTAACATTGATCATTTAACACACAATTCATTATCGATAATTGTTACAAAAATTTTTAAAGGCAAACAGCTAGGTATTCATGTATGCAAATTTTTGATGTACTTTTTCTTCCTTCCTTTTTTTGAGTAGGGGTCGTCTCTGTTGCTCAGGCTGGAGTGCAGTGACAAGATCATGACTCACTGCAGCCTTGACTTCCTGGGCTTAGGTGATCTTTCCACCTCAGCCTCCCATCTCAGCCTCCTGAGTAGCTGGTACTACAGATGTGGCCACCATGTCCACCTAACTTTTTGATTGTTGTGGAGACAGAGTCTTGCTATATTGCCCAGGCTGATTTCGGACTCTTGGCCTCAAGTGATCCTCCTGCCTTGGCCTCCCAAAGTGCTGTGATTACAGGCGTGAGCTACTGTGCCTGGTGGTGTCCTTTTCTTTAGTTGGGATTGGGTTGACATTTTCACTGGTGTCTGCGCTCTCATTCACACAGGACCTTTGCTTACGAGGTCTCAATCTCTGTTCCAGGTGCTCACTGCCAGCCACCATGCTGCTCTCTTAGAAGGTACACCTCCTCCTCCTGGCCGCTTCTCCTCGCTCTTCTGAACATGGAGAGATAGGACACCATCCCTGCTTGCCTGCAGACAGAGAGCTGAGCCGCCATCCCGGCTGTGCCCTGGGCTGTGGATGGATCGCAACAGAGAAGCCGACATGGCGCTGAGGAGGGGCCCAAGCCCCACCAGGGCTGTCAGGGCCCACGAGGCGGATGGGGACAAGGCCACCTGCCACACTTGCTGCATCTGCGGCAAGAGCTTCCCATTCCAGAGCTCACTGTCGCAGCACATGCGCAAGCACACAGGCGAGAAGCCCTACAAGTGTCCCTACTGCGACCACAGGGCTTCCCAGAAAGGCAACCTGAAGATCCACATCCGGAGCCACCGCACGGGGACTCTGATCCAGGGCCACGAACCAGAGGCGGGCGAGGGGCAGCCGGGTGAGATGCGCGTGTCCGAAGGCCTGGATGCCTGCGCCAGCCCCACCAAGAGCACGTCAGCCTGCAATCGGCTGCTGAATGGGGCTGCGCAGCCGGACGGCACCAGGGTCCTGAATGGGGCCGCACAGGCAGATGGCACCAGGGTCCTGAACGGGGCCACGCAGGCTGACAGCAGCCGGGTCCTGCTGAGGAGCAGTAGGAAGGGCACGGAAGTGGCTGCGTGCGCCCCTGGGGAGGCCAAGGTGGCCGCGGCACAGTGCTCCTTCTGCAAGAGCCAGTTTGAGTTCAAGAAGGACCTGGAGCTGCACGTGCACCAGGCGCACAAGCCGTTCAAGTGCCGGCTGTGCAGCTACGTGACCCTGCGGGAGGAGTCGCTGCTGAGCCACATCGAGAGGGACCACATCACTGCGCAGGTGCCCAATGGCGGCGAGGCCTGCGTGGAGAACGGCAAGCCCGAGCTGAGCCCCGGAGAGTTCCCCTGCGAGGTGTGTGGCCAGGCCTTCAGCCAGACCTGGTTTCTGAAGGCCCACATGAAGAAGCACAGGGGCTCCTTCGACCATGGCTGCCACATCTGTGGCCGCAGGTTCAAAGAGCCGTGGTTCCTCAAGAACCACATGAAGGCGCACGGCCCCAAGACAGGCAGCAAGAACAGGCCCAGGAGCGAGCTGGACCCCATCGCCACCATCAACAACGTGGTCCAGGAGGAGGTGATCGTGGCCGGCCTGTCCCTCTACGAGGTGTGCACCAAGTGCGGGAACCTGTTTACAAACCTGGACAGCTTGAACGCCCATAACGCCATCCATCGCAGGGTCGAGGCCAGCCGGACGCGGGCCCCGGCCGAGGAAGGGGTGGCAGAGGGGCCCCCGGACACCAAGCAGTTCTTCCTTCAGTGCCTGAACCTGAGGCCGTCGGGGGCCGGCGGCGACGACACGTCCCCTGGCGGGCAGGCCGGACGGCGGGTGCCCGAGCTGGACCCGGTCAACAGCTACCAGGCCTGGCAGCTGGCCACCCGGGGCAAAGTGGCGGAGCCAGCCGAGTACCTCAAGTACGGGACCTGGGACGATGCTGTGGCCGGGGACGTGGCCTTTGACAAGGACAGGCGGGAGTACATTCTCGTGAGCCAGGAGAAGCGGAAGCGCGAGCAGGACGTGCCGGCCGCGCAGGGACCCCCGCGCAAGAGGGCGAGCGGGCCCGGGGACCCCGCGCCGCCTGGCCATCTCGATCCTCGGCCAGCTGCACGCCCCAGCCGCAGGAGTGCGGCTGCCACTGGCCAGGGCAAGTCCTCCGAGTGCTTCGAGTGCGGCAAGATCTTCCGCACCTACCACCAGATGGTGCTGCACTCGCGCGTGCACCGCCGCGCGCGCCGGGATCGGGACAGCGAGGCCGACCGCGCTGTGCGCGCGCGCTGTGGCTCGCTCAGTGAGGGCGACTCGGCCTCCCAGCCCAGCAGCCCCGGCTCGGCCTGCGCTGCCGCTGACTCCCCGGGCTCCGGCCTGGCCGACGAGGCTGCGGAAGACAGTGGCGAGGAGGGCGCACCCGAACCTGCACCAGGTGAGGAAGCACACCTGAGTGGCCTCTTTCCTGTGGCCCAGGCTCAGTAGGTCCTGCTCCCAGGTCAATCTGTCCCCAAGTAGCTCGGGGTCTGGTAGCCCCTTACCCAAGAGACTTTGTTCCCAGATCAACCTGTCCCCAAGTAGCCCGGGGTTGGGTAGCCCTTTATCCAAGGGACCCTGTTCCCAGGTCAACCTGTCTCCAAGTAACTCGAGTGTGGTAGCCCCTGACCTAGGTAGTTCTGTTCCCAGGTTAATCAATCCCCACATTGCTGGGAGTCGAGTAGCTCTTTACCCAGGAGACCGTGCTTCCAGGTCAACCTGTCCCCAAGTAGCCGGGGTCGGGTAACCTCTTAACCCAGGATGCCCTGCTCCCAGCTGTCTGTCTCCAAGCAGCTGGGGTCTGGTAGCCCCTTACCCAGGTGGCCCTGCTCCCAGGTAGCCCTATGCTCAGGTGATCCTACATCTGAGGACTCCATGCCCAGGTGGCCCTGTGCCCCTGTAACCTTGTACCCAAGTATCCCATGCCCAGGTAGCCCCTTGCCTGGGGTCCCTATACCTAGGTGTCCCACATCCAAGTTCCTGCATCCAGTGTAGACCTCGAACTTGTGCTGGTGGGTGGGGCACAGGCACCTGTCAGCTCTACTTGCTGCTCCTTTTGGCTAATTATCCATATGTGTTTATATAAACTTTTGGCCTCTGGAGTTGATGGTTTCTCCTGGGCATCAGTAATTTCTGAGCAGAGAACATAGTCACAGTCCCCCTCTGAGATGTGCCCCTGTCTTCCTTTTTTGCCCCGGACCTGGTTCTCACCATATAACACATGTATGTATGCATACGTGCATGTACACACGCGTACCTGCATACACACTGCAGACTCTCTCTCTCTCTCTCTCTCTCTCTCTCTCACACACACACACACACACACACACACACTTTCCTCCACTTTCCTCTTTCCTATGCCAAACTGCTGGGTAGAAGAGTATCTTCAAAGATTATAATTAATCTCCTTGGATTCAAGTAACCCTTTGGGCTTAGCAACAGTTAATTGGAACAGATTGCTTTCCAAATAGCAGACATGTAAATATTTAAAGATGCTTGGCCAACTTGGTTTTCACAATTCTCCTACTTTCTATACATTTTAGATATTTTGCTCATTATTTTTTCTTTGGGTAATTGTTTTAAGTGGAATGTGATGTTTCTGTTACCGATCTTGTAACTCCCCACAAGGCCAGGAGTGTTTTTCTTTTCTCTCTACAAACTGGTTAGTGAGTGATGCTTTTACCTGAACTTTCAAGAATGTTAAAAATCACCGCCCTTGGGCAGGACTGTTTGTATTCTTTAGTGAGGGAGACAGCTGCTGTAAATTTCTTCAAAACAGAACAGCGAGTCGATATCATTTTTATTAGACATTAACTCAATCTTCTGCACAGAGTTTAATTATTACAGGTTTTTACAGTGTGTTACATGAGGGTTTGTTACACTCAAATGCATATTGAGTCAACAAAAATTTAGAAAACAAGTATTTTCTTTAATCCTAAAGAGAAACCTAGGCTGAGTCTATTCGTGGTATATTTGTGTACATGGGTAAATGAATCATACCACGTTATGCATCTTTTTAGATCTCATTTCTTAGTCATTGATCTCCATGGGAGGAGCAGAACAATATGGTAATTTCAGAAAATGCAACCCTCATTCCATGAGCATTTTTTGATTCTTCTAATAGTTTGTCATGAAAAAACTGGTTGATGCAATTGTGACCCCTGCTTGGCTTCTTTTAAGTTTAATTCTTGGTTTTAAAAAAAATTTTTTTACAAATATAGATTTTGCTGGTTGTGTTTCAATAATACTGTGACTACATTTTGGAGCACACATAGGATAAATATTAGGCAAGCACTGTCCTTTTTTAAAAAAAAACTTTTTTAGAGGAATATTTTTAATGTTTGGTGAAGTTCTTGGACCTACCCCTTTTATTATGGTGGTGGTCACATGATTCACAGGAAGCTAATCCAGTGGTGCTTTCAGAGTCAAGGAGCTGGAAGAACAAATTATTTTCTTTATAAATTGTGATATAAACTTTTTTCTTTCTTTTCAGAGTCTTTAAATTTTAGAGACTACTATTTACTTCTTAAAGAGAGTGTATATTTTTTCTTTATATGCAACTTTTTGAGAAATTTAATATATACTTCAGAAGATTCTATAACGAGATATATATCATGGTTGAATTTAACAAAAAGTTGGTAATAGAATGAATTATATATTTTAGCTTATTGAGAGAAGAGATAAATTTATGGTGTGACAGAGACATAAAATGGGGAAGATCCTTGTAGGTCTACGGAGGTCACGGTCTGTATTTTCCATCTAAAAATACAAACTTTTCAATCATAACAGTATCAGGCATCTTTAATGGTATAGTATAGCATTAAATTACTGACTCATGATGTTCCTTAAGGAGAGAGACCATGTTATATCAGTTCAACTGCTCTCAAAACACTGCTTTGTAGGGTTTGGTCCAGCTAGTTAAGAGAAATTGGGTATTTGAAATCTTGTGTTTTGACTTGCAGTATACCTTTTCCTAAAAAAATGGAAGATGCTCACCAATTCTGTTATTAAAAAGATGACTTAGATCTTTGAATATTTAAGCTATTTTAAATACTCACAGAACTTTTGATGGATTGACTGGTTAAAAATGTTAAAGTAAATATGTAGAAATTGGGGAGCAAAAAAATAACAAAAGTTCTGATAGGAATCAGCCAGGCTGCTGGGCAGAGGAGTTGGAATTAGAATTCAGATCCACGTGCCCATTTTAGTAAATACCAGTTGTGCTGTAACTTCACCTGAAAAATAATTTTTTTGACATCCAGTAATTGATTTGAATGCTGTTTCTGTATCTAGAAATAACTTGCAATGTTAGGTTAAGCGAAATAAGCTTTCTTTTTTCATGAAATGTTTTTCATGGGCTGAACATTGCCATTTATCCCTCTGGAAAGTTCTGATAGTCATGTTACTTTTATCTCCACATAAAACGTGACCCTACAGCCCTTGTTATGGACTTAAAATAGAAGCACTAAATTGTGAGGGGGAATAAAAAGTCAGTAATTAAGTGTGCTATTGAGCTAGATTTAAGTTCTTCATTGAAAAAGTGATGTGTATGAATAGAAACGAACACCCTTGGACTTGACAAAGAATTCATATTTTTACTCAGGGAAGAGGAGAGGCAAAAGGGCACATAATTGGAGTTTATAAAAATCAATATTTCCAAACTCAGGGAGCTTAGAAGCCATCATTAAGGAAAACGAAATATTACTTTACAAGGAAACATATAAACCTCAGGTTATACAGGCCAAAATAGAATTCTTATCCGAAAGCATTTAGGTGACTTGAGAATAATAGAAGCACACAGAGAGTCCGTGTGTCTTTGAACAACTTGCTTCTTGTGGGTTACTCTGTTTTCCAGTGTTGATGCCATTGTGAGAGGCACCCCGATGGGATACCTAGTGCTGGAGTTCACACAAGAGACTCACACGTAACTTTCGTGCACAGACAGCAGGGAGCCCAGTCCTGCTGTTTATCTGTGTATGGTGTAACTTACTAACTTAGACCGCCCCAGTTTGTGACCATTTCTTATTAGGCTTATATCTGTGACATCAAATCCATTCCCTATCCTGTGAAGCCCACCTTCTCTATTTATCTTTGAATACTCTCTGTGACTCAACAGACAGGAAACCACCACATTTTAGAAGTTATATAAAATTGCAAGTACAGGCTGCCCTCTGTATCCACGATTTCTGGTATCTGCGGTTTCTGGTATCCGCGACTTCTGTATTCACAGATTCAATCAACCACAGTTGAAAAGATTAAGAAAAAACCAAGAGCATTGCATCTGTACTGAACATGTAAAGACTTTTCCATGTTACTGTGCCCTAAAAATGCAGTGTAACACTATTTATAGAGCATTTACACTATAGTAGGTATTACTACTATAGATGATTTAAATTACACAGGACGGTGTGCATTAGGTACATGCAAATAAATATCCTACCATTTTATGTCAGAGACTTGAGCATCTGGTATTTTTGGACTCTGGGAGGTCCTGGAACCCTTGACTTGAGCATTCTGGGTTTTGGTATTTGTGGAGATTCTGGAACCCTTGACTTTAGCACACTTATACTTTGGTATCTGTGGGGGTCCTGGAACCCTTGACTTGAGCATCTGGGATTTTGCTATCTGCAAGAAGTCATAGAACCCTTGATGTAAATATTTGGGACTTTAATATCTGTGGGGGTCCTGGAACCCTTGACTTGAGCATCCTAGGATTTTGGTATTTCTGGGCAGTCCTGGAACCCTTGACTTGAGCATTCTGGAATTTTGGTATTTGTGGGGATTCTGGAACCCTTGATTTTAGCATCCTTGAACTTTGACATCTGTGGGGGTCTTGGAACCCTTGACTTAAGCATACTGGGATTTTGGTACCCATGTGGGTTCTGGAACCCTTGAATTGAGCATCCTGAGACTTTGGTACCTGTGGGGGTCCTGGAATCCTTGACTTGAGCATCTGGGATTTTGGTATTTGTGGGAAGTCCTGAACCCCTTGACTTGAGCATCCTGGGATTTTGGTATCTGGGGGAGAGGGGGCCCTGGAACCCTTGAGGCCTGGATGTGGGCATGCAGGTGTAGACAAGGGTTAAGCAGCCATCCTTCTGCCTTTCTGATAGAGCCTAGGCAGCGGTTAGAGCAGCTCAGAGAGAATGTGTTTTTGCATGTTCACCCATTGGAACAGGGCTGGGGGTGAGTCTGGCCAACACAAGTAGAAATGGGGTGGGCAGGGAGAACCTGCTGTAAGAGAAGCTCTTACACATTACTACTTAGAGTTTTCTTCAAGTAGAGCAGAAGCAGCACCACTGGAGCGCATGCTCTGTGGTCCTGGCTGAGTCTGCTTGCCGTGCTGGGTCTCTTGAGGACAGAGCCCTGTCCCTGCTCAGACATGCTGCAGGCAAGGCT